TAGGTTAAACATTGAGTATCGAGGACTGTTTGAAATGCAGTTCGACGATGCCAGAGAGAGTGTGTCTGTTTGCCACCTTTATATACGTTGTCTTGTACTTCCTTAATCGATGTTCATGGATACCAGCTCGCATGTGTACCCGTAGGGTGATAACCTCGGGCCCTTTGATGCGAAAAGAATGCTTACTTTACACCATTAGGCTGAGGTGCGTTACTTACCTGGAAGTGGTCAGCCCAAGGTAAATCAATCACGTATAATTCACAAATGGTATATATAAAGGACGGGGGAAACTGTTCCATCATCTCTTATCTTCACCTGCCGTTGAGACACAGATACGAGTAAAGACCAAACTGCAAGTACTAATTTAAATTTTGCTTCTGATATATATGTATACTTTTAATTTTTGATTCATCTGCTGCGCATCAGGCTGTTTTCAATCTTTATGTTGAGCCAATTCATAAAAGTCCGAATATGTAACATAAGACGTTCTTGTAAATTGAGAAATATATGAATGCGGGTGAAAGCAAAACTGATAACATAATTCACAATGAGTGGTGTGAACTGAATTTACCAGATGAGTAACGATAACATGCTATTTTACCTTTCTTGACAATAATTTTCCCGTTACTCAATAGATACTCAAAATGATGAAGATAGTCGCCGCTCTTGTTGCCTGCCTGGCTGTTACCGCCTTTGCCGAGCCTACCGGTCTGTATGGTGGAATTGGCGGGTTGAAAGGAGGACTGGGCGGAATTGGCTACGGAATGGGTGGATTGTACGGAGGCCTTGGAGGTCTTGGAGGTCTTGGAGGCTATGGAGGTCTATACGGAGGCATGGGAGGTCTATACGGAGGCATGGGAGGTCTATACGGAGGCATGGGAGGTCTATACGGAGGCAAATACGGATACGGCATGGGAGGTCTGTACGGAGGACTCGGGGGCTATGGTGGTCTCTACGGAATGGGAGGATACGGAATTGGATTGGGAAAAGGTATTTCACAAAATATGATATCATTTGTTTATCGTATCCGTAAATATACCTCCAGTCTCGTTTGCAAAATTGCATAATTTACCTATGTGGTATTACTATTTTCAGCGACAAAGCTGATGACATTTACAAAACATCTTTAAAACTATTCTCTGCTTTCTCTAATATTTGGTATAGTTTATCATGCAGCTAGTTTCAAGACTTCGTTGTGACTTATCCATACATCCCAACTTTATTCTACTATTTTTTTGTTTCAGGTATCGGCTATTATTGAGTTATTATCACCTGCAGTGTGATGCTGGCTATTTATGTATTTTCTCAAACCAATGGAATTGGTTCAATAAAATCTTGTCATATTTATTTACGCCTTGAAATTTGTTTGAAAATCTTAATCTGAATTGAATGTTCACAATGGAAGAGTGATCTATGTTTCTCCATATTGTACACTCTGGACATAGTACGTGTTGTCGACCAATATCCAAGCACACTTCAATGATATTGCGTTTTACTGCTAGCTAAGATATCAACTACTGAAATGTGCTATTAAGTTCCTGAGGAAACCGGACATGATGATAAGAGGAGGGATTTTATGCTTGATATATCTCCCACCAAATGTCACTTACCCGAGTTCATGTTTCACGGGAATGTATCATTTGGGCTGCCAGGAAAGGGTTTGATGGCCATTTGAAGTACCATAATATCTGGAATTGGCTGTCTGTATTTCAATTTGCATTTTAAAAACATGCAGCGAAACAAATAAGCAGGCGTGTCAATTTTTGTCAAAGCAGTCATTGACGGTATCAAGGGGTAGACAGTGTGCACTGTATTGAAATGCAAATGTGTGCGCTGTCCTTGAAAATGAGCGAAAGTTGTATTCAGAATACAATCTACATGTTGTTATGGCGCTTTGTATAAATAATATCTGAGCTGCTGCAATAAAACAAACCCGAAAGCCATAGTGATGTAGAGCATCAAAACAAATGTTGCAAGATTCTTACTGCTTTGGTTAGAAGGGAATGCAAACAGTTGGAATTTCCATGACAATAACATATCTTTACAGTTTATCAATTACACAAACAAAACGATTGAATTCAAAAGTAACTATTAAATACGCTTGTCCGGGTATAGCTTATCAAACTACGAATTATTTGTAATTTCCATCAAACATGTACTTCTTGATTTGATGATGCAATTTAACATTTTGCATACTGCTTATGTAATTAATAGGAGAAGTATCTATATAGATATTTAGTTGTGTGTTTACTAACCACCTTCCCTGTAGGCGCTATTTGTAAAATACATATTGATTAAATCAGAGCGCGAATTTGAAGATTCCGAACTGGATTGGTAGGATTGAAGATTACAATGAACAAACAAATAGCTAATATATCCCTATTGTTTGATCACAAAGCAGAAGTGACAATCATTTATCAATACAAAGGAGATTGCATTTGGTAACTGTAGAGAGTAAAATTCAGCGGAATAAATGGTCCAACTTTAAAGCGTGTCATAAGTCTTTATAACAACAACCAGACTGTAAAAACAAGTCGTTTGATCATGTCTATCTTTGAAAACACCTCTGTGTTATACTTTAAGAGCATTTTCTTCTGAAAACACACGCCTTTACTTTTAGATGTACGGTTTTTCTGGGCAACCCTTATATAGTTACACATTGTCAAACTGATTTGCGCGTGTTTTATTCTTGGTAAGAGTTTTGGTCTAAACACGCCTTAAAAGAACACAATCATCACTATCACTACTGCTTCATCATGTCGACGTCAAGGGCATACGTAAAGGGTAGAGACGATTTATATACTTTCTTCTAATGTTTACGACCTAAGACTCAGCCGAAGATTAAAACACGTTAAAGTGAGTTATTTGCAACAGTGATTAAGGATATATGCAAAAGTATGAATGGCTGAGACATTGTCAAAAGACAACATTCTCCCAATTTGGCACACGATGGAACGGACGGAGGAGCTCATGAAACATCCAACAAATATGAACTATTCACTAACACCTGGTGACATCACTGATATTCAGTATACATTTTAGCACAATCTTGCCTTTTACACCCAATGAAATCTGTTTCAACAGATAATCGAGCCTGAATATTCTCTGGCGTTGACGATTTATGTAGTTAAAGGGTCATCATTGAATGATTATTATATCTTCAATATTCAGGCGTTATCTATAAAAATTGAGATATCAAATTTAGTGATGCTCGTATTATCACAAATTCCTTGATAATGAAGTGTACAATTATCAAGATGATATGTTGAAGATAAGAGAGTTCTCTCAAGAAACGCAGTTGCAAATAAACGCCACAAAACCCTTAAGTTTTCAGAATCATTCGAAAGCTCTGCTCGAAGCAGAGGCCATTGTACGATTCCGACTATAATGATCACAAGCATGTGCGTATGAATGACTATCAGATAGTGGATTCCGGGGTAGAATAGGTCTTCAGCAACCCATGCTTGCCGTAAAAGGTGACTATGCTTGTCGTAAAAGGCGACTAACGGGATCGGGTGGTCAGGCTCGCTGACTTGGTTGATGCATGTCATCGATCCCAATTGGGTGGATCGATGCTAATGATTTTAATCACTGGATTGTCTGGTCCAGACTCGATTATTTACAGACCGCCGTCATATAGCAGTAATATATTGCTGAGTGCAGCGTTAAACAACCAACCAACCAACTAACCAACCAGATAGTGATGATACCTGGCGGTTGCCAAAAAGTAAGCGTATCCTGCCCCATCGGTTCTACCGTCACAAACACATACAAAGACAAGTCAACAAAGACGAGAAAACAAGCTCTGGTTTATATGTCAATCATGTTTTCAGCTTTCGGCTTTTAACAGATACTACACACATATAAAGGTGTTGTGAGTATTCATAGTGACAGTCCCTTTGTGAGAAGAAACCAATATATGTCCCTTTCAGTTAGGAAATAAAGCTGTTGTAGTTTATAGTTATTGTGCAGTAAGATAAATAAAATTCGGGGAGAATAATGTAGTATCTGGGGACTTCTGCAGTATATTCAGCAGAAGCTATTTTCTTGTGAGCAGGCTGCTGTATTACACGGAAACGGTTAGCATAGTTGACCTCGTGTGGTACAGTGCTACTGCTGTACTGTGGCGAGGCTGTACTGGTGTGTTGCGTCAGTTTTCTGGTCTCATGTTATGTCGTATCACACAGATGCATTATAATGTCTGATGTATGTTGCTCCCACATCATATATTTACTGGATACACACTTTTCAGACCATTAATTTAATATTTACTTAATATAGGTTAAAGTGAGTGAGTATGGTTTTACGCCGCTTTGAGCAATATTCCAGCAATATCACGGCGGGGGACACCAGCAATGGGCTACACACATTGTACCCATGTCGGAAATCGAACCCGTGTCTTCGGCGTAACAAGCGAACGCTTTAACCACTAGGCTACCCGACCGCCCCTAAATAATATAGGTTAAACATTGAGTATCGAGGACTGTTTGAAATGCAGTTAGACGATGCCAGAGAGAGTGTGTCTGTTTGCCACCTTTATATACGTTGTCTTGTACTTCCTTAATCGATGTTCATGAATACCAGCTCGCATGTGTACCCGTAGGGTGATAACCTCGGGCCCTTTGATGCGAAAAGAATGCTTACTTTACACCATTAAGCTGAGGTGCGTTACTTACCTGGAAGTGGCCAGCCCAAGGTAAATCAATCACGTATAATTCACAAATGGTATATATAAAGGACGGGGGAAACTGTTCCATCATCTCTTATCTTCACCTGCCGTTGAGACACAGATACGAGTAAAGACCAAACTGCAAGTACTAATTTAAATTTTGCTTGTGATATATATGTATACTTTTAATTTTTGATTCATCTGCTGTGCATCAGGCTGTTTTCAATCTTTATGTTGAGCCAATTCATAAAAGTCCGAATATGTAACATAAGACGTTCTTGTAAATTGAGAAATATATGAATGCGGGTGTAAGCAAAACTGATAACATAATTCACAATGAGTGGTGTGAACTGAATTTACCAGATGAGTAACGATAACATGCTATTTTACCTTTCTTGACAATGATTTTCCCGTTACTCAATAGATACTCAAAATGATGAAGATAGTCGCCGCTCTTGTTGCCTGCCTGGCTGTTACCGCCTTTGCCGAGCCTACCGGTCTGTATGGTGGAATTGGCGGGTTGAAAGGAGGACTGGGCGGAATTGGCTACGGAATGGGTGGATTGTACGGAGGCCTTGGAGGTCTTGGAGGCCTTGGAGGTCTTGGAGGCTATGGAGGTCTATACGGAGGCATGGGAGGTCTATACGGAGGCATGGGAGGTCTATACGGAGGCATGGGAGGTCTATACGGAGGCAAATACGGATACGGCATGGGAGGTCTGTACGGAGGACTCGGGGGCTATGGTGGTCTCTACGGAATGGGAGGATACGGAATTGGATTGGGAAAAGGTATTTCACAAAATATGATATCATTTGTTTATCGTATCCGTAAATGTACCTCCAGTCTCGTTTGCAAAATTGCATAATTTACCTATGTGGTATTACTATTTTCCGCGACAAAGCTGATGACATTTACAAAACATCTTTAAAACTATTCTCTGCTTTCTCTAATATTTGGTATAGTTTATCATGCAGCTAGTTTCAAGACTTCGTTGTGACTTATCCATACATCCCAACTTTATTCTACTATTTTTTTGTTTCAGGTATCGGCTATTATTGAGTTATTATCACCTGCAGTGTGATGCTGGCTATTTATGTATTTTCTCAAACCAATGGAATTGGTTCAATAAAATCTTGTCATATTTATTTACGCCTTGAAATTCGTTTGAAAATCTTAATCTGAATTGAATGTTCACAATGGAAGAGTGATCAATGTTTCTTCATATTGTAAACTCTGGACATAGTACGTGTTGTCGACCAATATCCAAGCACACTTCAATGATATTGCGTTTTACTGCTAGCTAAGATATCAACTACTGAAAAGTGCTATTAAGTTCCTGAGGAAACCGGACATGATGATAAGAGGAGGGATTTTATGCTTGATATATCTCCCACCAAATGTCACTTACCCGAGTTCATGTTTCACGGGAATGTATCATTTGGGCTGCCAGGAAAGGGTTTGATGGCCATTTGAAGTACCATAATATCTGGAATTGGCTGTCTGTATTTCAATTTGCATTTTAAAAACATGCAGCGAAACAAATAAGCAGGTGTGTCAATTTTTGTCAAAGCAGTCATTGACGGTATCAAGGGGTAGACAGTGTGCACTGTATTGAAATGCAAATGTGTGCGCTGTCCTTGAAAATGAGCGAAAGTTGTATTCAGAATACAATCTACATGTTGTTATGGCGCTTTGTATAAATAATATCTGAGCTGCTGCAATAAAACAAACCCGAAAGCCATAGTGATGTAGAGCATCAAAACAAATGTTGCAAGATTCTTACTGCTTTGGTTAGAAGGGAATGCAAACAGTTGGAATTTCCATGACAATAACATATCTTTACAGTTTATCAATTACACAAACAAAACGATTGAATTCAAAAGTAACTATTAAATACGCTTGTCCGGGTATAGCTTATCAAACTACGAATTATTTGTAATTTCCATCAAACATGTACTTCTTGATTTGATGATGCAATTTAACATTTTGCATACTGCTTATGTAATTAATAGGAGAAGTATCTATATAGATATTTAGTTGTGTGTTTACTAACCACCTTCCCTGTAGGCGCTATTTGTAAAATACATATTGATTAAATCAGAGCGCGAATTTGAAGATTCCGAACTGGATTGGTAGGATTGAAGATTACAATGAACAAACAAATAGCTAATATATCCCTATTGTTTGATCACAAAGCAGAAGTGACAATCATTTATCAATACAAAGGAGATTGCATTTGGTAACTGTAGAGAGTGAAATTCAGCGGAATAAATGGTCCAACTTTAAAGCGTGTCATAAGTCTTTATAACAACAACCAGACTGTAAAAACAAGTCGTTTGATCATGTCTATCTTTGAAAACACCTCTGTGTTATACTTTAAGAGCATTTTCTTCTGAAAACACACGTCTTTACTTTTAGATGTACGGTTTTTCTGGGCAACCCTTATATAGTTACACATTGTCAAACTGATTTGCGCGTGTTTTATTCTTGGTAAGAGTTTTGGTCTAAACACGCCTTAAAAGAACACAATCATCACTATCACTACTGCTTCATCATGTCGACGTCAAGGGCATACGTAAAGGGTAGAGACGATTTATATACTTTCTTCTAATGTTTACGACCTAAGACTCAGCCGAAGATTAAAACACGTTAAAGTGAGTTATTTGCAACAGTGATTAAGGATATATGCAAAAGTATGAATGGCTGAGACATTGTCAAAAGACAACATTCTCCCAATTTGGCACACGATGGAACGGACGGAGGAGCTCATGAAACATCCAACAAATATGAACTATTCACTAACACCTGGTGACATCACTGATATTCAGTATACATTTTAGCACAATCTTGCCTTTTACACCCAATGAAATCTGTTTCAACAGATAATCGAGCCTGAATATTCTCTGGCGTTGACGATTTATGTAGTTAAAGGGTCATCATTGAATGATTATTATATCTTCAATATTCAGGCGTTATCTATAAAAATTGAGATATCAAATTTAGTGATGCTCGTATTATCACAAATTCCTTGATAATGAAGTGTACAATTATCAAGATGATATGTTGAAGATAAGAGAGTTCTCTCAAGAAACGCAGTTGCAAATAAACGCCACAAAACCCTTAAGTTTTCAGAATCATTCGAAAGCTCTGCTCGAAGCAGAGGCCATTGTACGATTCCGACTATAATGATCACAAGCATGTGCGTATGAATGACTATCAGATAGTGGATTCCGGGGTAGAATAGGTCTTCAGCAACCCATGCTTGCCGTAAAAGGTGACTATGCTTGTCGTAAAAGGCGACTAACGGGATCGGGTGGTCAGGCTCGCTGACTTGGTTGATGCATGTCATCGATCCCAATTGGGTGGATCGATGCTAATGATTTTAATCACTGGATTGTCTGGTCCAGACTCGATTATTTACAGACCGCCGTCATATAGCAGTAATATATTGCTGAGTGCAGCGTTAAACAACCAACCAACCAACTAACCAACCAGATAGTGATGATACCTGGCGGTTGCCAAAAAGTAAGCGTATCCTGCCCCATCGGTTCTACCGTCACAAACACATACAAAGACAAGTCAACAAAGACGAGAAAACAAGCTGTTGTTCATATGTCAATCATGTTTTCAGCTTTCGGCTTTTAACAGATACTACACACATATAAAGGTGTTGTGAGTATTCATAGTGACAGTCCCTTTGTGAGAAGAAACCAATATATGTCCCTTTCAGTTAGGAAATAAAGCTGTTATAGTTTATAGTTATTGTGCAGTAAGATAAATAAAATTCGGGGAGAATAATGTAGTATCTGGGGACTTCTGCAGTATATTCAGCAGAAGCTATTTTCTTGTGAGCAGGCTGCTGTATTACACGGAAACGGTTAGCATAGTTGACCTCGTGTGGTACAGTGCTACTGCTGTACTGTGGCGAGGCTGTACTGGTGTGTTGCGTCAGTTTTCTGGTCTCATGTTATGTCGTATCACACAGATGCATTATAATGTCTGATGTATGTTGCTCCCACATCATATATTTACTGGATACACACTTTTCAGACCATTATCGAATATTTACTTAATATAGGTTAAAGTGAGTGAGTGAGTATGGTTTTACGCCGCTTTGAGCAATATTCCAGCAATATCACGGCGGGGGACACCAGCAATGGGCTACACACATTGTACCCATGTCGGAAATCGAACCCGTGTCTTCGGCGTAACGAGCGAACGCTTTAACCACTAGGCTACCCGACCGCCCCTAAATAATATAGGTTAAACATTGAGTATCGAGGACTGTTTGAAATGCAGTTCGACGATGCCAGAGAGAGTGTGTCTGTTTGCCACCTTTATATACGTTGTCTTGTACTTCCTTAATCGATGTTCATGAATACCAGCTCGCATGTGTACCCGTAGGGTGATAACCTCGGGCCCTTTGATGCGAAAAGAATGCTTACTTTACACCATTAAGCTGAGGTGCGTTACTTACCTGGAAGTGGCCAGCCCAAGGTAAATCAATCACGTATAATTCACAAATGGTATATATAAAGGACGGGGGAAACTGTTCCATCATCTCTTATCTTCACCTGCCGTTGAGACACAGATACGAGTAAAGACCAAACTGCAAGTACTAATTTAAATTTTGCTTGTGATATATATGTATACTTTTAATTTTTGATTCATCTGCTGCGCATCAGGCTGTTTTCAATCTTTATGTTGAGCCAATTCATAAAAGTCCGAATATGTAACATAAGACGTTCTTGTACATTGAGAAATATATGAATGCGGGTGAAAGCAAAACTGATAACATAATTCACAATGAGTGGTGTGAACTGAATTTACCAGATGAGTAACGATAACATGCTATTTTACCTTTCTTGACAATGATTTTCCCGTTACTCAATAGATACTCAAAATGATGAAGATAGTCGCCGCTCTTGTTGCCTGCCTGGCTGTTACCGCCTTTGCCGAGCCTACCGGTCTGTATGGTGGAATTGGCGGGTTGAAAGGAGGACTGGGCGGAATTGGCTACGGAATGGGTGGATTGTACGGAGGCCTTGGAGGTCTTGGAGGCCTTGGAGGTCTTGGAGGCTATGGAGGTCTATACGGAGGCATGGGAGGTCTATACGGAGGCATGGGAGGTCTATACGGAGGCATGGGAGGTCTATACGGAGGCAAATACGGATACGGCATGGGAGGTCTGTACGGAGGACTCGGGGGCTATGGTGGTCTCTACGGAATGGGAGGATACGGAATTGGATTGGGAAAAGGTATTTCACAAAATATGATATCATTTGTTTATCGTATCCGTAAATGTACCTCCAGTCTCGTTTGCAAAATTGCATAATTTACCTATGTGGTATTACTATTTTCCGCGACAAAGCTGATGACATTTACAAAACATCTTTAAAACTATTCTCTGCTTTCTCTAATATTTGGTATAGTTTATCATGCAGCTAGTTTCAAGACTTCGTTGTGACTTATCCATACATCCCAACTTTATTCTACTATTTTTTTGTTTCAGGTATCGGCTATTATTGAGTTATTATCACCTGCAGTGTGATGCTGGCTATTTATGTATTTTCTCAAACCAATGGAATTGGTTCAATAAAATCTTGTCATATTTATTTACGCCTTGAAATTTGTTTGAAAATCTTAATCTGAATTGAATGTTCACAATGGAAGAGTGATCAATGTTTTTTCATATTGTAAACTCTGGACATAGTACGTGTTGTCGACCAATATCCAAGCACACTTCAATGATATTGCGTTTTACTGCTTGGTAAGATATCAACTACTGAAAAGTGCTATTAAGTTCCTGAGGAAACCGGACATGATGATAAGAGGAGGGATTTTATGCTTGATATATCTCCCACCAAATGTCACTTACCCGAGTTCATGTTTCACGGGAATGTATCATTTGGGCTGCCAGGAAAGGGTTTGATGGCCATTTGAAGTACCATAATATCTGGAATTGGCTGTCTGTATTTCAATTTGCATTTTAAAAACATGCAGCGAAACAAATAAGCAGGCGTGTCAATTTTTGTCAAAGCAGTCATTGACGGTATCAAGGGGTAGACAGTGTGCACTGTATTGAAATGCAAATGTGTGCGCTGTC